GCTCAGAAGCTACTCTTGATAAACAAAAAAAAATTCCTTTTAGTTCTTGAATCATATGGAAACTTTTGCTGGCTAAATTATTCTCCTAACTGGCACAACTAGAACTGTGTTGACTTTATAGTCTATCCAGAAGTTATCACTGAATTCTTGCAGACCCTACATAATTTTATATGTTGATTAGGTACATGTTTATGTTAAATGGATACAATTTAGAAGGTCATTCATTAATTTGTTTGCTTTACAGTATCTTCTTTCATCTTCGATGGACAAAACTGTTCGATTGTGGCACATGTCTAGCAATTCCTGTTTAAAAACATTCACACATAGTGACTATGGTAAGTATGAATTATTTTCCAACTTGTTTTTGGTTTCCTTTTTTCGGGTATGCTTGTTCCTGTTCTAGCTAATGTCTTAATGATTCCTCTTAAATTTGTGTTGATGCAGTGACTTGCATCCAGTTCAATCCTATTGATGATAGATACTTCATCAGTGGGTCCCTAGATGAGAAGGTCCGCATCTGGAGTATTCCAGACCGTCAAATTGTTGATTGGAATGATTTGCATGAGATGGTCACTGCTGCTTGCTATACTCCCGATGGACAGGTTTCATACTCGACACTAAATTGTGTAACTTGTTTTGAGTGTGGATCAGTTAAATCTCTTAATTTTGTAATTTTTTTTTTAATTCATTGAAGGGTGCTCTAGTTGGTTCACACAAGGGAAGTTGCCACTTGTATGATACATCTGGTATGGTGCACCCGGCATTAAGTTATCTAAGTTTCCCCTAAATGTTGTATATAATCTTGCTGATGGTCTTACAATATAAATGTCTCCTTAGACAATAAGCTTCTCCAAAAAGGTCATATTGATTTACAAAACAAGAAAAAGAAGTCCAGACACAAGAAAATTACTGGATTCCAGGTATTTTTATAAACAATCTGTCTTTTGCATTTGCAAGATATTGAGCTTCTCCATCTTTTAAGCACCATTTAAAAGATGTCAAGTTTCACTGACCAGCTGTATTAACAGTTTGCTCCAGGGAGTTCATCAAAGGTGCTAGTTACATCTGCAGATTCACGAGTCCGTGTAATTGTTGATGATGAACTAGTCCACAAATTTAAAGGTAGAGATTTCCACTTTAGAAACTTAATAGAAGCATATGCTATCATAAAATAGTATTCTCTTATAGATTTTGGGGAGTGGATCATTTGTGTAGGAACATTATTGCTCTGTAGGTTTTCACCATCTTGCTTGCTTCTTAAAGCATAAGATGTTAAATTAACTAGTTTATACATTCTTGATCCCTTGTCCTTCGGGTGCATCAAAGCACACACTATTTTCATCTGTTTTCTTCTGTTATAGACAGGCATTATTCGGAGATACAATCAGTAGCAACCAAATTTAGTTTTTTTTTTAATTTTTGTAATTTGTGAATAATTGCATACCTGTTGAAATTTGTTGATTATAAGCATCAAATGTAGTAACTTTATAGATCACACTGGCATTTGCTGCATTGATGAAAGATAAAGACAGCAGATACATATCTTGTATGCACATGGGACTTATGTGCTTGAAATTCAACAATCAAATTCAATGAGTGCACATTTTCAAGTTGGGCTACTAGGTTAAGTGACTCATTACAAATGATATTAACACATTTCCCATGGTATTATCATGTTAGTACATATGCCGAGATGGGGTTTTCTCTTGCAACCATCATGATATTTGTCCGATTAGTCCTATGTTTGACTTCTGAAGTCTGCTTGTGAAACTTGGAGATTTGAGTAGACAAGCTTACGATAATTCCAGTTGTCTCATAGTGATGGACTTTTGGGTAAGGCTTCAGTGGCCTGTTAGTAGTAGCTTAGCTGGAGCCAGTTGGACCATATTTGTTGACCATTCTTAGGGTTGTCCTGTATCATACATAATATATGGACTGGGAGTATGGTGTATCAATAGTATTCTATAAAAAAGTGGAGTTTAATAAAAAAAGTTAAACGATGAATTTGGATATCTTATAATTCTGGACCATTTTGTTAAGATCCTCACAAGTTATTAGATTAATAAGTTACTCAGATCAGTACCATTATGTAGCGAAAATTAGGAATACATTTATCGCTTGATGCTGGCTTAGGTTAGGGTCAAGAACGGGGAGCTATAAGGCTTTCAGGGTTAATTCTACCCCTTTAGGCAATCTATTATGATTTGCTGAACAAGCGAGGGTCAGGTAATAGAAGCATTGTTTCATCCAAGTTAGTCTGAATTAAAAGGCAGCAGCTGCAACTTAATTGGCACCTTTCTCATCTCCCTATTAATCATCCTTCAAAGCATGTTTAAGATCCTTGCTGATTGTGATGACTTGATATGTCCTATTAGCATCATGCCTATTTGTTACAAAAAACAAGAGAGATTAACTTTAAGTAAGATGAAATTTTCATACAATACTAACTTTAAGCCTTTTGCTTTTGCATGACAAATATGAACAAGCACTGGATTTATGATGTTAAAATTTTATAAATAATACTAAAACATGATTTTTGGAAAATCTATGATTTTTGGAAAATCTACTGTAAAGGAGCTTGAGCCATTGGCTTGAAAAATATTTTGCATTCTTGGGTTGTGCAAATTGAATTTATCTTAGTTATGTCCATTAACATATCTAATAGTTCAGTTTAATCCATTAAACTTCTCATTTTAGCAGGAGCCAATAGTTGCAATATCCCATTCAGGGCATAGTATCTTTGTAAATATGATTTAAGATGTTTGTGCATTTTAATATTTTATACTTGTTCCTTTTTCATTTAACAAGAGGAGATAGAGAGAAGCCTCGTTTAAGGCGTAGCCTCTCGCCCTCTCCCATCTCCTTTATTCAATGAACCTTGATTTGCTTGACCTCACCAGTCACCAAGGATAATAAGAATGTCCCTATGAACTTGAACACTAGAGAAATATGCTGGAATTGGTTGGGAAAATTCTGCCATCTCCTTTGTTCTCTCTTTTTATCTCTGCTTATGAATTATATAATTCTGCAAGAATGGAAAGGATCCATACTCTCCTTCGATAATGTTGAATCCAGAATTCAATAGAAGGATCGGATCCCTAACACTAGCACAAACTTGTCATCTGAATTGCCTAAATTTAGTTGTTGCATGCATATGATTTCTTGCTTCCTGTTCATTCAAAATTGCATGACTGACAAATCTTGTCACATTATGTCAGATTTGTGTGTCTGCCTTTTTTTTTTTCCTTTTTCTAATACATCTTGTGCCATATATTAGTAGTCAACCAAGTTTTAGTGAAAATGGCCTATAGTTATCTCAATATTTTCTGGCAGTACTACCTAACCTTCTGATATTGTACAACAATAATCAGTTGTTTGTTCTTCAGGTTATTATTTGAGACTGATGCATCTCTTTCTCTCTAGGGTTTCGCAATACAAGCAGCCAAATCTCAGCCTACTGGACTACCAATGGCAAATATGTTATCTGTGCCAGTGAGGACTCTCATGTATACGTATGGAGATATGATGAAGATTCACGGCCTAGTCGAAGCAAACCTGCTGCGACTGTCACACAATCTTATGAGCATTTCCACTGCCAAGGTGTGACAATGGCTGTTCCTTGGCCAAGCTCTGGAATGGGACTAATGGTGAGAACCGACTCCAATAAACAGACTGAGCTCAATGGAGAATCTCTGGCCAATTCGCCACTGCTGGTCGAGGTCAACGGACTCCATCTTTCACCTTCTCCTGGTTCTCAGAACATTGGTTGCCAACAGAACAGCACTTCCAGTCCAAACTCCAATCACTTCAATGACAGGGTTTCAGCAACTTGGCCCGAAGAACTCATGACCAATAAGCAGAGCCCTCGAAGTAACAGTGACCTTTTCAACGGGTGCATGCCGGTGCAAAGTACATCGGCCTGGGGATTGGTGATAGTAACTGCAAGTCGATGCGGTGAAATCAGAACTTTTCAGAACTTTGGGTTTCAGTTTCAAACCTAATTTCTCGCCCATGGAAGATGACAAGCTATCAAATGTTAGCAGGCTTGCGATCATCGTTACAATCACTTCCCAGGTTGACGCTGCTTTAGTTTTGTGTACAGTTTGACGGATATGTGGTGGGAGTTGTAAGATCTACAGGGACTCCATTTCGTTCTCCCCCAGTCCATTTGCGTGGTTAATTTGCAAGAAAACCAGGCCAGCAACACATGGTTCTCAGCATTGCCAGAATGCTGCTCAAATGTACAATAAAATGGAAGCCAAAGATGGTGATGCAGGGGGCTGGTTGGTCGTAATTGGTATTTTTCTCTACTTTTTTTTTTTGGTTGGATCATTTCAATTATGTTCTTAAAAGAGGGTACGGTGTTGTAGTGTACCCGTCTCCCCCCCATTGTTTTATTCTGCTATATCTTGACGTAAGAAGAGAGATTAAATTTAAATGCTGCAAGAGAGTCATACATGGTTTCTGCAATTTCTTATAGTAATCCCTTTTACTAGAACTTTACTGCCAGAAACATAGAATTAAAGAAAATCTTCAAGAACATTGATAATGATGTATCCTTATTGATTGTGGACTTGCATGGATTGGATGAGTCATGTGCCCTACTAGTGCTTCAAGTTGATGTCACGGGTTATATTTCGTCACTATATTGGGGATAGTATTCGGCCGAGAGAGAAAAAGAGGTATTTCTAACCCTTGTAAGTTCAAGTTTAATGAAATTTATAAGTAATATACTAATTCTCATTCTTAGATGATGATTGATCATATATTTTTTGGGCACAGTTCTATCCGATTCATTTAAACCAGATTAAGACATGTAAGTAGAAAAATAAATATCTAGAATGAATTCAAATATCTAAATGGTTTATCGGATTTTGATAAAATTATCGGGTATAGCACCCGTTGTGATTCGTACTTGGTTCAGAAGCAGTGGTCACCGGGCGGTGATCACACCCAGGATCCTCCACGTCCGCTTGATAAAACCCCTCCTCGATCCCCTTGAATCCAGTTTCGGGACACCGCCTCGTCCCTAATTCTTTCTTTGCCGAGAACGTGAAGAGGGGGATTCGGAAGCACCCCCGCAGGAAGGCGATGATCGTGCGGACGTACGCCCGAAGGGCTACCCGCTGCGGCGCTGGCCGCTCCTCCTCCGATCCCATCCTCCTCGAGTCTCCCGACGCCGACGACGACCCCGATTCCGCCGCCGGTGAGCTCCTCGACCTCCCCTTCTCCCAGGACAGCTCTCATGGCCGCCACGCTCCTGCCATTTCCGCATTATCCTCCCAAGATTGCTCCTCCCCTTGGTCTTTCGACCCCTTCGACGTCCACGACGAAGCCCCCGCGCTCCCCCGCGACCCGCCGAACGAATTCCACGGATCGGACGGTCCCAGGACGGTGTCGTGGGCGTCGGCGAGGGATCCGTCGGCGGAAGTGACGACGTCGACGCTGATGGAAGCGCAGGAGTTCGGGGAGATGATGGAGCACGTGGACGAGGTGAACTTCGCGCTGGATGGGCTACGGCGGGGGCAGCCAGTGAGGGTCCGGCGTGCGAGCTTGCTGTCGCTTTTGTCGGCTTGCAGTACGGCCCAGCAGAGGCGGATTCTCCGGGTGCAGGGGTGAGTGAATGAGATGCTTTTTATATTTTCATCTGTTGCCCAATTAATTATTCCCGAAGAAAGTAGTTTTCGAGTTGATGGCTTGAAACTTCATAATATAGAGTCTAACAATGACAAATAAGAGTTTCCTGACTTAGCTTCTTCTAGCAGATAGTAGTTTCTGTTTGAAGATTTTGCTCCTCGTTTATGTATTAGAGATGATTTCCTTTTATCAACTTAAATAGTCTGTCTGCAAGTTGGAAAATTTTGTGTACAACGATGACCAAATAAAGGGACAATCTTAAACTACCATGGAGAAATGCCAAGAAAAGACTCCCCAATGGCCAACCTTAACATTTTTTCTGTATTAAAAGAAAATTAGTGCTTATTATGAAAGAATCAATAGATTCTATTCATTAATAAGTTTATATAGGCAACCAATTGATGAGAGAGAGAGAGGTGTGGGTGGGAAGATGCAGTCTTGGTTGGTTGTTGTCTAGTATGTGTTGATGTCTTGATGCAACTGGTTCATCTTGAGAGGATATCTCGCTCAGCAGGTGTCTTGGGTGCCATTTTTTCAGCTTTGCCAAAGAAAAAGAGATAGTCGATGCACCATTCTTCTTACCCTGACAGGTTCTGTCTGTGCTAGGAGCATTGCTTGATCAGCTCAGGCTCTAAACTTGGTTCATGCATCTTTGCTGCTTCAGTTTTTTCTTATCTATTCTTCTTCTTATAATTCTTCTTCTTCTTCTTCTCTGTTTCTTCCCTTCTTTGCACATTAGGGTGGTCTTTGAAACGCTTCTATAGCCATATTCTCATGCTTCCCATGCCTATGCATGTTGGTTTCATCTACCATATGCCAGAATTATGGGCATACAAATTTGTGTTGTGTTCTTAGAGAGAATGAATGTAGAAAGAGAGATGCGTGTTCTCATCCAATATTTTCTGAACATTTTAATGTACGAGCTAAAGATATTTGAAAATAAGAGAACATTCTTCTCATTCTCCCTTTTTTAGCTTATATTGATGGTCAGTATGGTGCTTTAAATTGCAGGATTTATTTGGATGGAATTAGAGCCATCTTGGAAGGCACTGATGCAAATGTTTAATTTCTTTGTTGTTTGCAAACTAATTTTGAAACTATGAATTTATATGAGTTTAAGTATAGTAATCTTAAAACCTAGTGTCAACCAGCAAGGTAGTCAAGAGATGTAAAACTTACAAGGTGTGGAATATAAAGAGATATTCAGTAAGGTATTTTTGCAAATAGTTTTAAGATTTTATATTGTTGTTCTTGTGCTAATGAACAATCCAATTCCAGAAATATAATAAAGGAACATTCATGCAAATAGAAACTATCTTGGAGGGCACCAGTGCTAATATCCTCTTAGAGTGGTGTGTGTATATATATGATTGCATGTGCTATATGTGTAAGCCCCAAAATTTTAATACTGTTGTTTTCCTTGTTTCATTTACTACTTATATCTGGACTTTTGGGGCAACACTGTTGTGATATAGCTTTTGGGAAATTTCAGAAATGCTTGTATTGTTGTCTGAATTATGATGCAGTTTCCAGTATAATAACATTTACTTTGTTGGTGCCATCTGTAGTATCTGTTGACACTTGACAGTATGTGTAATTTGACATGTTAAAGTTTTTAACATCTAACAGGATGGCCAAGAGGATTATTGATGCCATATTGGGTCTGAGATTAGATGATTATCCAAGTACAGTCGCTGCTGCTGCTCTTTTTTACGTCTTGGCAAGTGATGTAAGTTCCTTGTATATTTAAAATATTTTCTGTATTTACCATGCCTATGAGTCTTCATCTTCCATTTTAAGTGATAATATAACAAGCCTTATCAATGCATTTTTCATTGGGGTTCTTTTTATTCTTTTTTATATATGGTTCTTGTTTATCTGACTACAAATATGCTATATGTCACTCAACAGTGTTTGTCCTAGAGATGTAGGTAAATTGAATTCCAATAAGTTCATTATTATTTATTAATTTGATCGTGGACCTTTAAATTATTTTGCTTTTCCCTTTCATGTTCAGCACCAATTATTGGAAATAAACCCTATCAGCCTATCTTAGAATTAAAATTACACAAAAAAATGTCAATTTGCCTTCAGTTCATCCATCTTGTGAGTCATTTATATGTATATTTCAGTGATTCTATCCTAAAGCATAAGATGTTAAGAAAAACTTTTATACGGAATGTAAAAATAAATAATTTCAAGGACTGAAAGGACTATAGTTAAAAGTGGCTTGTTATATAAGTTTTATCATCTTTATAATCCAACACTTGCATTTTCTTTCATTATTCTGGTTAGTGTAGAAAGTTCGAATGATCTAATGGAAAGAGTCTTTTTTAGCAAGTCACTTAAATGGTGTTTGTCACCCAATTAATAATTTATTAGTTCTTTAAAGAGGGTAGTTGTCTTCTATTGTGCAATCATATAGCAAATTGAGAAATACTTAACTATTTTCAATTTGTTCTATAATCTGGAAATTTTTGTGAGAGGTTTAGTATATGTGAAGAATGAAGATGTATACATATATTGACTTGCATCTGTGGATTACACTGGATAAATTTTCATGCCTATCCACTATGACTGAATCTTAATTTATTCATTGAAGTTTGATATTATGTGCTTCATACTCAGCATATAGTTTGGCTGATTTACTAAAATATTTTTTTCATATTCCTTTAAGTTCTTTACCTTTTTATCAATTTGTTTCAGGTTCAAGATGATCATTTGCTGGATTCACCATCTTGTATTGGTTTTCTTCTTAAGTTATTGAATCCAACAATTCCTGAGACCACTGGGGACAAGGCATCAACTTTTGGATCTAAGCTTCTTGGAAAACATAAGACTCAAGTAGTAGATAGTACATATAAAGGATTAGATTCCACCTCAAGGGCTATCTTTTCAAAAGTTTCAGAAATCCTTATCAGTTGTAAAGAGATAAAATCAGGCACTGAGACTGCTGATAGAACAGAGAGGCCAGAGCTGAGCCCCAAATGGATAGCTTTATTGGCCATGGAGAAAGCATGCTTATCCACTGTATCATTTGAAGGTAGAGTCAGTTTCCATTCCATAAAGGCCATTTGAATTATCCAGTGTTCGCATAGCTTTGCTACTGTTGCTTAGTCATATGCTTGATTAGGCAGATATCTTTCTAATGACCTGCTAAAAATCCTGTTATGACCTTTAATTTCTGCATGCACAACTATTCAAGTGATAGTAGTTATAAGCAAGGTTCGCCGTACCGTACCATATCGGCGTTTCGACCCGGGCTTGGTATGGTACGGTACCGGTGTATCGGGCGGTACATCAGGGCATACCGAGCGGTACACCCGGGCGGTCCGCGTACCGGTAACCTATCGGATCGGTACGTACCGCCCAGTGGGCGGTATGCTTCGGTATGGCAGGTCTTGGTTATAAGTAAGGATTGAAATATGGTACCGTACCGGAGTTTCGACTTTCGTTCGGTACAGTACGGTACTGTATACCGAACGGTATACCGGTCGGTATATATATATAAATAAATAAATAAATAAATAAATAAATAAATATATTTATTTATTTATATAAAAGTAAAAAAAAATCTTATATATATTTATATATATAAATAAAAAAGAATTTTTCAGCAATGTTACCGAAAAAGGTGATGCCCCTTCGCCTTTTTCTGCAACGTTGCCGAGGCGACGTCGCGTCACTTTTTTCGGCAACGTTGCTGAGGCGACGTCGCGTCGCCTTTTTGGGTGACGTTGCCGAGGCGACGCGACGTCGCCTTTTCCCGC